CACAACTTGGGTCACCAATAGTGGCAACTCACAGAGCTGTACGCCTTCTCACGACTAAGATGACCACTGAGTGGGGTGTCATGCGCCTCATTGAGGATATGGTAAGTTAAATCCTAATCGTGAGGACTCACAATCCGTGGCATATCCGTTTAATCGATGCTATAATACAGCAATACGTTACTTAACGAATATCGGTTTAAACGTGCGCGCAACTGCGCCGACAATTTCTTGTTCAAGTTTCCAATTTTCTTCCTCCCGAGAGCCTGTAGCAGCGCTACCCACATACTATCTCCCGTGTTTGCGGCATGGATCAAATCCATTACTGACGATGTCACCGTCGTGATATGAGCAAGGTCATAGTCCGAATTGCGTGAGCGCGCATCAGCCAAAGCATTCTGCTTTCCTGGCTTATACTTCACCTCGGAGTTATATTCTGCAAAGAATAAGAGCCAACTGGACATGGTGGAGCGACGGAGTTGCAATGTGTAAGGACGCATGATCCGTGTCACAAACGACTTTGAGCCAAGCAGGTGCACCCCGAACTTGACAAGTGCATACATCACCGCAAGTGATTACTTGTCGTGAACTGGGAAGTTCTTCTCTGCAGCTTGAGCTATCGAGATTCGAACGCGATCACCCAATTTCAACCCTCGGTGTCTGTTTGCAGCAGTGCACAACCGATGGCAAAGTCCGAAGCGTCACAGACGACACTCAAAGAACAATCGGGGGTCTGGCAACGCCAGTATTGGTGCATGAAGGAGGCTGTCCTGACTTTGTCAGCAGCCTACCGATGCTCGATGTCCTAACACTATTCCGCATCCTTCTCAAGGATATTCGACAGTGACCGTGCCATTTCTACCTAATTCTCACTGTACTTGTGCAACTCGTATGCGAGGCCGAGTCATTTGCGCAAGTTATTCTGATGCTTTGGTGTCAGCCATTCCACAATGACCTTGGCCTTAGCGGGATCCTTCTGGATGCCACGCTTTTACCGCCAGATGAGCTCATGTCTAGCATACAGCTTATTCGTGCGCATGCACTCGAGCACCGATCTTAAATGGACGATGTGGTTCTCTTCATCTGTCCTCCCGTGCTCCACACGACTTTGGGTGAAGATGTCGTCGGAATATGTCTGAGGATAAGCCCCATGGGGGCTGAGCAACTGCGTCACAAGACGATTAAATGTTGCTGGTACAGTTGACAGCCCTTGAGGAGTCACCAGCCACTCCCAGAGCATCCCGCTCGGAGTACTCACCGCTGTCGGTGGAATATCACTCGATTTTATGAACAATTAGTAATAACCATCGACCAATTCGAGTGCGCTGTAATTTGAAAAGCCAGCCATATTGTTCTGAAGAACATCCTTTCTGGGAATCAGCGTTTGTGCCGGAATGGTGGCAGCGTTTAGCTTATTATAGCGTGAGCGATACGTCACCTGCCGTTCGGCTTCCGAAAACAAACGTGGGTGTGGAATACTTGCTTCCACGTGCAATTCCTGTTTCGTGCTTCGCATGAAAAAAAGCGTCAATGACGTCACACTGCTATTCGGGCAGGGGCCATTGTTGTGTAACGCAGTATCTAGTTCCCGGAATCAGGTCAATCTCATGACGCACACCTCGGTCTGGAGGCAGGACCGACGGCGGGTC